TCCTTAGGGCTTTCTGGTGAAGCTAATTAAAGACTTCATCTGATATGTGATGTCCTAAATATAACTATAAAGCACATTTTAGGTCTACATCTTCACCTGACTAAGGCTTAGTGCTAAATGTCTTAAATGTAACACTGCACCACTTTAAGCTGCGCTGTGATATCACCCAAATGTTTGGGACATAACCACAGACTCTATTTAAAAAGGGATATAACCACAAACAAAAGCTCTACAGAGTGCAGTCATGTTTTGGCATCAGTGTTGACAGACCTGTCATCGCATATGTCCATGAATGACTGACTGAATGTTCATAGCTCCGCCGTTGGTCAGCCGAATACCACGTGACTGAGTTGTAGTTTCCCATTGGCCGCTGCTCTTTCAAAATGAATTTGCGCAGACAGTTTCTATTGGGGGGTTTACACCCCACAATGTTGCCAACTTTGCACATTTGCACATTGCCTGGCCGGATTTAGAGACTTTTCTCAACAAAGTACCTAAAGACAAATTTAGTGACTTTTTGGATAAAGCTTGGCTACTCAGAAGAGAGTCGTCAGTGAGTGGAAGAAAGACGGAGCGGCACTTTGTTACCCAGATGGTGGCTACACTGTGTGAGAGAGACAAAGTAAGAAAGGTATTGTGTCACTTCTAACTTTCTCTCTGAGTGATGATTTTACAAGTTGATGTAGCCGGATTCACTGCACAGCCGTCTTCTTTAACTTATTTGAATGGTGATTTTGTCAGATGATGTTACAGTTATAAAATCAGGATTTTAGCAGCAGCTTGGAAATGGCTTGGAAGTTAACTTGCATCTTAATGGGCCACGTTTCAGTCACTATTTCAAACTTGTTCCATTGTCTGACAAAAGAAAGAAAAAACATGTAAGTGAGAGCAGCTTTATCGGACATTCAGCTGTATTAAAATACTGCATATGTAAACACAGAGAGGAGAGAAGCAAAAACATGAAGGACTAAAACCAACTGACACTAGGCAGAATGCAAGTACGACGATGATGTCAGTTTTTTTTACACAGTTTTCAATGATGTCTTCAATATCTCACTCTGGCCACATGTGGTCCAGCCAAACACTAGTTTTTGACCTAGTCTTGTTAATTTTATCAGTTACACTTGTTCTTTTTCTGCTATGACATTTCCGCTACCGATTTTCCTGCACTGACTATTGATAGATCAGAGAAGCATGTGTGATCACCTGTGTAGTGAGAGACACTGTCCTCAGTCATGAAAACTAACTACAACTATACATACAACAGCATGTATATAGACATGCTGTTAGTTTGCATAATATTTCATGACAGTGGTTTGTAATCCTGTAAAAGACAGCACATCAAAAAGTCACTTGAGGCCATTATTTACATTTCCAACACATTTACGGTCTCTGTTGAAATATGTTGACAGGCCGTACAAGGTGGAGAGGAAAGAGAGTCCAGCTCCCCACCACCACAAAGCCTTTTGTCATGTTGTAAATAATATACATTGCATTTAGAAAGTATTGAGACACATTTTGTTATGTTGCGCACTCAGTACCCCATAATCACAAAGCAAGAATAGAAATTTAGACATTTTTTGCAAACTTCTTAAAAAGGGAAAACTGTAGTATCACATTGACATAAGTATTCAGACACTTAACTTGGTATTTAGTTTGAAACTAATGTGTCATCCAGGGCTTTATGTCCTTAAGTCATGCTATTGTGTATTGTATTACACTTGGTGATATAATAACTTAAACACACACAACACGATATAACCTACTGTACAACACAAGCACATGACGGCTCTAGGCTGACATGCTGAGGAGGCCTTCTTAACAGTATGTTTCCTGGAGGCCATCATGTGTATTCTGGGAGGAGCAACAGTGATGTGCTCCACTAATTAAGTGTATATACCATGTTCAGCATTAGATCAAGAACAGGAGAGTTGTTGAAAGGGGTTGAAGTAGATGACCTTTCCATTAGGACAGTGCTAATGTTTCATTCGGCCGTCCTCGTGCTGAGCATTTAATAGCCCAAGTGTTTTAATCAGACATAAATATTTGCATGTAATAAATGGGAAAATCCCCATACACCACTAAGATATTTATGGTGCTGCCTGCACTCCCTTTTCCTAAAGGGTTTCTGGGGAAGCTCATTTAAAGACTTCATCTGCCTGTGATACATCGGACTACGGTTTAGTGCTACACGTGTTAAGTGTTACACAGAAAAGTTCACTGTGGCTGCAACGGCCTTGCATTGCCTTAAGCTGCACTGTGATATCAACCAAGTTTATGAGATATAACCACAAACAAAAACTCTGCAGAGTGCAGTCAGTTTTAATTCTATCAGTTACACTTGTGTTTTTTTCTTCCATGACATGCCAACATTTCTGCTACAGATACAATACAATACTGCCATAATTTTATTAATGACATCTGTGCTTTTCCTACTGTAACATGTCAACATGTCTCCTGTAACGAAGGCCTATTAGTTGGCAGGGGGATGCTTGTTATGTATATAACTTAACAACAGTCATGAAAAACTAACATACATGCTGTCAATTTGCATAATATTTCATGACAGTGGTGTGTAATCCTGTAACAGTACATCAAAAAGTCACTTGAGGCCATGATTTACATTTCCAACACATTTACAGTCTCTGTTGAAATATGTTGACAGGCCGTACAAGGTGGAGAGGAAAGAGAGTCCAGCTCCCCACCACCACAAAGCCTTTTGTGTTATAATTGATATGCAGTACTTTATTTTGATTTCAGTTGGCAGTCCTGTTCTCGGGTCGTGTTTTCAGGGCAAGGTTCTTGTGGTACTTTAAGGCCTGGGTTCACAGGGTAAGCTTGGTGGTTGGCCCAAGGTCTTTCCCATCCTTCTCTTAAGATGACAGCAGCCTGCCTTTTGCCTAGCTTGTGAGTTTAAACATCTGATATGTTATGACCTTTACTAGGGCTTGGCCTTAGCTTGTGCTTGTGGTGTGTGTGTGTGTGTGTGTGTGTGTGTGTGTGTGTGTGTGTGTGTGTGTGTGTGTACAGACATGTTAAGACGCTTTAATCAACTTCAATGAGACATTCTTGTTCATTCTTGTCATCTCAGTTTACATGCCTCTGTGTTCAGTAAAACTTTCAACAATCAACAGTGAGCTGATCAAAGTGTGTGTCAGGCTTCAGCACATTTTATGGTCTATATACAACAGGAAGATCAAAAAGACAACTCTGCACATAAAGTATCATTGGCCTTTCCAGCAGGACAACACACTGATGTGTGTCTGTGAAATATCCTCATGATGAGTGAATGAATGAAATAGCAAATGCATTTTGATGTGACACATATATTCATTAAGGAATAAACGGAAACACCCCCTTTCAGCACACGGTTTTCCCCTTACAGAGCTCGTACATGCCGTACTTCATAAGGAAATGAGAGTAATACTGTTATACTACTACAGCTGGTTGACTACATGTCTATTACCAGTATTGTTTGTTCTACTGCTGCTACTGCAGCTCTTCTATAAGTACTTATACTGGCCAGTCTTGGGCCACCAAGTGTGCTGCAGTGTAGCTGCTAACACCACTGCTATATGACTGTTATTATTTGTTGTTTTACCAGTAATAATATTGGATATATTAATTATATTTACCCAGATACATTTTTATTTATGAGACCAAAGTCTGAAGACATAATGTTAGAAAGTTTGTCTTCCATACAGTGCATCAGTTTGTGATCATCCTAACATGAAAAAGTAGAAACTAATTAAATCAAGAAAAAAAGACAGAAGTGCTGAACAAATAATAGACTTTAATAACATACTGAGAGCAAGTTTTATGCAACTTTTTAAGCAACTTTGCAAGATTTCTCACAGTGAAAAGATTCAATGTCATCTGCTGAATTTCAGCTTTATCAAAGTTTTTCATATGCAGATGGACAAATCTAAAGATTTTCAATGTCATTTAACACAAAACAAAAATGTTAGAATTGATCAGTAAAAATCCTGTGAGTCATATTTTAATCTTCCCTCCAGACACGTTTTACTGTAACTTGAAATCGTAGTATTTGTAGAATACATGACTGTGTTCTGCAAGTCTGCCAGTCAGGCAAGCCACAATATTTCAGTATAAAAGACAATAAGAAGAAAAAGCAGCTTTCATTCTCCCGTTTCAGCTCAATTGCTGAGATGCTTTCCTTTAATTGGACTCAGCCTGTGCAGGTATGACAAGACGGACGATCACAGAGGATAAAAACCTTTTAGGTTCTATCTGGGTTTTAACCAAGCACATTTAATGCCAACGAAGCCTCCCTCATAAATGTACAAACAGGCTTTGAAGCTTTCTCAGAAATTTGCTTTGAACATCAGGTTTGATTTTACAAGTTGAAAATATCCAAGAAATCCTATGACACGCACAAACCCGTAGAAAATCAGTCTACATGCAAGAGGAGTGTTTCTCTATTGGCTTGAAAAAATTATTTTTTATTATTATAATCCATACTGTATATATAAAACTGTTAAGACCTCTTCTTTTCACTGTAAAGTTTAAATTTCAATTTCATCTCCTGGCAATGTGTGTGTGTGTGTGTGTGTGTGTGTGTGTGTGTGTGTGTGTGTGTGTGTATCCGGGGCTGGCCAGGCTTGGATTTGACATGGCCTGACTACAAAAACATGCAGCCCAGCCTTTAGGTGTAGTTAACTGTACTCATGTTGGGGCAGGCACAAGGTCAAAGACTGTTTTCCTCACTCTTCAAACGACATTGAGAGGTTTGAAAGAGATCTGGAGAAAGGCTTTAGATCCTGTTTGTAGCTATTGCTTTAACTCTCAATACTTGTGCCATGATGCAGAGCTAAGTTTAGCTCCTAGTTTATATTGATTGCTATATTTGGGGCTATATAGGGTAACAAATAATTTTCTGTCCCTCATGTGGAAACACAGAAAGGGTTTGACACCTTACCCTGTTTAAAACAATTTCTCCAAACCACTGCCTGGTGAAATTTTAATTATTGTAATTATCCATGTATTTACCAGGCTGCACATATCCGTCAAAGTCTGACTTTGGCTCCATCACTTCACCGTTTTTACCGGAGAACGGCACCGCTTTGCTGGACCATAGCACCGCTTCAGGGAGAGGACTATCGGAGTACCGGAGCTACTGTTACCACGAGCCGCTACAGCAGTGTGCTCCTCCGGGCAAATGGACCTTCTACCAGGCCAACTGCCCCATCACCTCCTGCTTCAACTTGCCGGGGGGAGCTGTCTATCATGAGTACCAGGGCGTATCACCCCCGTCGGAACCGATACTCAGCGGCAGTAAGGACTGTTTTTCATATGGCGGGGAGGTTTACGGTGCATCAGATCCACGCTTTCACGCACATGCGTTTGCCGGTGACCCGCGGAGTTTCACCGGCAGCTACACGACGTACAACAGGGACTCACAGCTCCTCTTCCCGGCGGGGCGAAACACAATTCTGCCGCCGGTTTTCGACCGGTTTTTAGAGTACGCAGAAGACGCAGAGGATCCGAAAGCGGGCATTACAGCTGGGAACCACCACGAGAAAGAGACGAATCGCACCGAGTGGACGAGCGGAGAGAGCGGCGAGGTGAGGGCGGGGTCAGCGTCACCCTTGGCTCGGAAGGAGGGCGAGGAGGATGCGCCGTCATCCAGCGGCAGCGGGGGAGACGGCGGGCATGACCGTAGTGAGTGGAAATCGGACATTTCTTTTTACGAGAAAATGTAGTTAAATGGTTTATTTCGTAATGAACGACACAGACTTTTGAATAATCCATCAGTTTGTGCAGTCATGACTCCACATGGGGCCAATTCATACGCAAACAGGATCATTTAGAGACATTTAGAGAACTGATACATATTTGTTATCATGCACGATTCAATAAAAGTAGTAACTTACATCCATATATTAGCCTATCTCTTCTACATCTTCCATGGCTCATTTAAAGTTCTGAAATAGGCCTAAACCTTAGGTTACACTTAACATGAACTTACTGAACATGTTCTGCACATACAATGCAGTCAAGAGACAGAATATATCAGGGCCATATTTGACGGCCAAGAGGTCATTTGTCAAGGCTACAAATTAGTCTTTTATTTATCTGTTCATTTATTGTAATTCCTATTTCCATGTCTTTGTTTGGTCTCATTGATTTAATTGGATCACGTTTATCTTTCAAAAACAAAACCCAAGAAAAAGAAAATATGATGAAAAAATAAACAATAAAAATAAGTGTAGTTGTGTTCTTTACTTGTACATATCTAGAATTTAAAGGCCCAGTATAACCATAATCTTCCTTCAATCAAATGTGAAAAGTCTACACATCTGATTTCTGTAAGTTTAAAAATTGTACTTTCCACATTAAAAATAAATTCCATGTCTATGTGAATGAACTCTACAAATGGATTTGTACTGTATAGGTAAACAGTGCTGGTAAGTGCAGTTATCTATTCTAATTGATTTACACAATAAAGTTAATTAATATTTCAAATTTCTCCCAGTTTGTTAGTTGTAATTTTATCTGCTGAAATAGGAAACAGTCACATAGGCTAATAACCACACATTAGACCTAAATACACCTGTTTTTCTCCATAACATATGAGATGCAAATCTACAAATGCATGGAAATAAGCTCGTGTGAACTTGTTTTAACGATAGCCTTAATAAGACTCTACGTTCACTTAATAGCTGCACAACATGAAGGTCATGCATGTGAACTTCTTGAACACACTGTTTTGATTTAGACCTTGACATTCACCTCAAATTAAAAGTTTAAATTAACCCAATTCAATGAAAGTCGGTTAGATTTACATGGGTTTTATTTGTGTGAGTTACTTTTATTTCTGTTGGATGTTTAGAGGAGATTGGCCTCCTCTGACCCCTACTCCTAAAGACTGGATTTTGTCCTGGGCTTATTTTACCAGACTTCAATTCTTGAACATATTTTCTGGACATTAATGCTTGTGGTGATATTCTTTCAGTATTGCATCTACTTACTTCCTGTTTTTTTTTTCTGTTTCATGTTAAATCGTTTCGTCCTCTCTCCAGCAGGGCCTTCGGGGAGTAGAAAGAAGCGTTGTCCTTACTCCAAGCAGCAGATCAAAGAGCTGGAGAGAGAGTTTCTATTCAACGTTTACATCAACAAGGACAGACGCATGCGGCTGTCCCGCCTCCTGCTCCTGACAGACCGGTGAGTTCATGCTGTAATATTTTCTTGATTAAGATTTATTTAATGAAAAGATATGTTAGATTGTAAAATGATTATGCCTGGATACAAGTTCTGATTGACTGACCCACATTTGAAATAGCTGTAAAATACAAGCTGCTGTCTGAACACATCTAACCTTGCTCCAATTAGGGTGGGATGAGGGTAAACTAGGGCTTGTGTTACCAGGTGTTGTTGGCTGCAGTAAAGCACTCTTCTCCTGCACTGCAGCCCTGTAAAACACCACTACTATAGTGGTGTTTTATTTCAAAGCTGTGGAAGCCATGACAGCAGGATTCGCCTTTTTACTATGTTTTTTTGTTTTGTTTTTTACCATGAAAAAAAGATATACATGTTTTTGAGTCAGGAGAAAACAGTGTTTAAGTGTTTATGTTTATAGTTTATTGCCAGAAAATTAATCAGCAACTATTTTGATAATCAGTTGATTATTTAGTCATGTCTTCTGGCTTCTCTAATGTGTTTTTCCCCCCTGCTTTTTTCTGTATTATATCATTGTAGATTTAATCTCTACAGAAGAGTAATTCATTCACTTGAGAAAACAAAAATTTTGTCCTGCTTTCCTGAATTAAGGAGATTATTATCTCAGAATTCCGAGAAATGTTTTCATGGAAAAAATAAATCTGCTCTCGTTTTTCTGAATTGATGAGATTGTTATCCCAGATCTCTAAGATACTAATCGAATGCATTACACGCCTGTAAATATCTCTGGGTTTTGGACTGTCGAACAGACATTTGCCATGTTGATGGGCATTTCCACTATTTTCAGAGTTTTTGTGCACCACACGTCATATCAGTTAATCAGGGAAGTAACTGGCTGATTAACTGCCAATGAAAATAATTGTTAGTTGCAGTTAGTTGTGGTGAGGTATTCATATAATTTCCACCAATTTTATAATTTTATAATTTTCCACCTTTCAACTTAAATATTTATTATATTGTAAATATTTATTATAAAATATATATATATTAAATATATCAATATTTTTAGGTTTACATGCATGTGGCATAACCAATCCAAGAAATGTTGGCGATAACCATCTTGGAAAATTACATTCTGTATGAATATTGTGTCTGACATGTTGATGAAAAACTGCAGCATCATGTTTCGCACTAAATGTATTCTGCTGATGCAGAATCACAGGGTATGCTCATGTTTTTAAATGAACTCTGTCTCAGACGTAACAGCACTAGCAAAAACATTCTATTCTCAGTCCTATTCTTTGCTTTGCTTTTGCAGACAGGTGAAAATCTGGTTCCAGAACAGAAGAATGAAAGAGAAGAAACTGAAAAGAGAGAGACTGCAGTACTTTGCACGATACCACCTGTTCTGATGGATGGAAGTAAAAGACGATCCTTTTAATGTCATCTGCAAACTGTGTGACAAGTCTGCAAAGGCTGTCACAGCTCTGCTTCATTCCAGTCACGTAGGCAGGTTAATAGAGCCATAAATAAAGGTACAAACAAACAAATAAATAAACCCTGTTCCTTCCGATGAAGAACACCAAGGCTCAGGTTTAGACTCCAACAGCAATCTCTCTTTGAAATATCGTGTCTCGCTCCTGATTATCTTGATCTTTCATCAACAAAACATTGAAAATGCTCCTCTTGCGTTATTTGAACCCAACTTCGCTCTGAGGTCATGTGGCTCACTGTGAAGAAATGAACCCTCTTTCTGCCTTAGGTCTTTCTGTTCCATAAATACTAAGAGATAAGGAAATACATTCTTTGAAAACTAAATAGGGAAACATCAGCTACAGATGCAGCTCCTTATATTCATATCTGTGGATCCTGATGCATCAGACTTCACATGTCAGTGAGAACGTTTGGTTTTTGTCCATGTTTACTTGCACTGCTGACAATCTAAATCTGTCTATCTATCTATCTATCTATCTATCTATCTATTTGTTTATAACTGACATGCATTAATAACTGATAACAATACAGTTACCTCATACAACCAAATTTGACTATTTAGCATATAAATATAATTATTTTAGGCAAGCGCAGATAATCATCCTGATATTTGTGATATTTGATATTGGTATGTGCTACTTGTTCTGTGATGTTTGTGCTTTGATATTGTCCCTCTATTTTGGTTTCAATATTTATAATAATTCAATAAATACACACTGAAGACAAAGGATTAAAATATTTGACAATAAGAGGAAAAGAGGAGCTTTTCTAAAACAGACAAAAAAGAAATAAAACCAAAATCTTTACAGTTAGATAAACTGAGTTGTGAAAGGCACATACACTTTTTTTCAAATTTGTTACAATAAAAAAATAATTCAGCAAAATGCACAAATATTGTTTCTATTAACTGAAGGTTTGTTACAGTGCTGTTTGTATCCATACACAGGGTGCTGTCTAAATGTTTTTATAGCCTCTAGTAATAAAATGAAATGAATGTAAAGTGTGATCACTTCTGCAACCAAAAAATTAAGCACACTCACATCTGCGTTGGATGATTCCTGAATCGTAAACACCATCTTACGAACTAAACAGCAGGTTATTATGGCCCCAGGTTTCAGTACTATAAAGTGTAACATTCAGCAGTAAAGAGTGGGAGAGTCAAACTACAGAAGGAAATAAGTGAAAACAGAAAACAGGTTTTGTCTTGTGTTCTCTCGTTGTCCCACTCTGGGGTCCCGACCCAGACTTTGAACAACATGGAACCAGACAACAGAAACACACAATGAGTCCAAGGCTGCTAATGAACCTTGAACCGCAAACTGACCACAACACACCACGCCATCACAACCACCATTTCCTCAGCTTAATTACTTTTATTGGGGCAATACAGACAGTCTGCTGTCTCTCTCTCTCTCTCTCTTTGTCTCATTCACTCAGTCTGTGTGTGAGCGGGACTGTGCGTGAGTGTGTATTTGTGGGTGACGCAAAACAAAAAAAAAACAAAAAAGACAAGGAGATGAAAGGAGAGATTGTGTTTCTGGTTGGAACTAAAGGCATTCAACCTAATGGCCCACAATAAACCTGACTACAAGCCTGTTGAGAATTTTTTTTAACCAACACAGACATGTTTCAAACTGATTTACTTCTATATATATATATGTATACTGTATATATATTTTATCATTGCTAAGCTTGTGTTTTGATTGTGTTGTTTTAGTTTTTCCTGTCTTAAAGAAATGGATATTGTGATATAATAGTTGTAGAAAAGTAGAAAGTACAGGAGGCCTAGTAATAGAACTAGTTGAAAAAGTAGCATTTATAGCATTTATGTTAATACTGTATTGCAAGTAGTAACAACGGTATAAGAAGCAGTAATCAGGATACTACTAAGTATCATTATCTGCAGCAGTAGTAATGTAGCAGTTGTAGCGGGAACATTTTTGTTGGGAGGAGAAATAGTTGCAGTATTATATTGCAGTACTGGTGTAGTATTAACATTTAATTTAGTAGTAATATTAGCAGCAGCAGTTTAGCAGTTAGCAGCTAATTGTAGTAGCAATAACAGCAGGAAAAATAATAGTAATAATAGAAATGGAAAAGTTATAACAGTGAAAGGGAAAAACATTACTTTAATCCCCCATTTAGTATTTATATAAACATTTAATAAATGGTTTATAACACACTATAATGTAGCTGTAAACAGATATGTGTTTGTCAACAACATTAACTCCACTTGTGTGCATCTATAAGGAAAGGCTGGTATAGATAATTAATAACAATATAATAAAAACACAAACCGTAATAATAAAAAGCAAGTCTTCTTTGAAGAAGTTATAATTGTTGATAAATTATTTAGCCCACATTAATTCATTCTTATAATGTCCTTATAGCAGCTACATTATAGTGTGTTATAAACCATTTATACAATATTTGTATACTGCTTTTAAATGCTAAATACAGCGGGTTAAAGTAAAGTGTGACCACTAAAAGAAATGCAAGGCAACAGCAATGTAGTTGCAACTGTAACTGTAAATAATACAAATAGTAATGTACTAGTAAAAGTAATGGCAATAATAGTGGCAACAATATAAAGAGCACATGCCGTAGTAAATAACAGTAATAGTAATATTTCACTAAATGATTTTCTTAATGCTCATCTTTAAAACGTGTTGGCATCAGCTCATGGTAATGCACCATGGCAAACGCTGCCAGCATCGTTCATTAGTTCTTATAGTCTGTCATATAAATTTATATGGCAGCCTGCATGACTTTTACACAGCAAACACTGCAGATCCTTTAACAGCAGAAGTCTCCTTCAGCAGAGCAGCCGTGACACCACCAGTTACAGCAGATTTCATTCAGTCATTGCATTACATCTCTCTCTCAATACTGGCCGGGATCCTCAAGATAGATTCAATTATAAAAACTGATTCATGTGTTTCTTCATTTTATTACTAAAAGCAGTTGCCAGAACTTATACTAACTTGATAATTTGCTAAATAAAAAGGCATTAAAAAGCCCTGCACACTAAAACAAACATTTTCAAATTTTGTTCCACAGGACCAGATCTTATTAAAGACAGTCTGTGCTGTGAAGTCAGTGCTGGAATATTTACTCAGATCTTTTACTTAAGTAAAAGTAACAATACCACAATGTGAAATTACAACAGTATTGTCAGCAAAATATACTTAAATTATCAAAAGTAACTGTTCTTGTACAAAAAGAAGGTGTATCCTACATTCATATATTGGACAAAATGAGGCAGATTGCTGCACAAGAATTACAAAACATTAGACTAGATTCAACTTTGTCTATGTGCAGAAGACAAAGCCCAAAAAATGCAGTTAGCATCTCACCACGAGTGCAAAGAAATGGCAATTTTTACAGCTAAAGTGCAGGAACAAGTAGTACAGAATACAATATGTGCAGTATGTATGTACAGTGGTGCCACATGTGTGTATGTGTATGTGTATATGTACAGTATAAGTAACAGTGATCTGAAAAACATGTGGAGTGATTCAGGCTATGTAAACTTAAAAAGCAATGCAAATTTGTAAGTAAGTTAAAATATTTCAACAATGTAGAGTTGAATAAAAAGGTTTTAGAAAATACTTGAAACTGCAATGAAAAATAGGTTGAAGAACTCGCTGAAGAAAATACAACTGGAGGGATTCAATTACAGATCAAACTGACTTGATAAGAAGATTTTGTGCTGAACAATTTTATTATATTTAGAAGCAAATCATATATTTTTTCCTAGAAAAGTCTTTCACTGTGAAGTAAATGTAGCCGCTAAGTAAATGAAGTGGAGTAAAAGTTACTGTGACGTGAAATCTAAAGCAGCAGGAAATGGAAATGCTGCACTAAAAGCTCAAGTTGTGCTGAAGTGCAGCAGCTTGAGTAGATGTTACTTTCCACCACTGAGTGATGTTTGTTTGATCTTTCACATGATTTAAATTTGGGAATCCCCACTGCATACGTCGTTTTAACTCATCCAGCCAGCAGATGGCGCGAAGAGTGCACAAGAGACAGCGATCAAGGTCTATGTTAGAGGGCTGAGACTTTTTTTTTTCTTAAGGAACAAAGGCCGTTTGAGTCTCCAGCCAATGAAAGTTCACTTTCACACACCAACACGGGCACGAAGAAAGTGAAGACCGACTGTGTTTAACTTGGTATTTTGGCATGGAGCCAAATATGTTATGTTATTTTAAATTTCAAAGATTTCAGATGCCACATAGATTTAAGTGCTGCTTAATAATGGCCAAATAACAATAATAACAACTGGCTGATTTGACAGGAAAAGAAAAGGAAAAGTTGATCCGGCAGTTTTTCTAACCAAAAAAAAAAAAAATCTAAATGATGTTTTCATGTTTTCACTCAACAACATAATATCACATGACAAAACAAACTTAGGCTCCAACGGTATTAGTCAATGTGTAGGCTGAGTAAACTTATATTAAAATTACATGACGTGCAGCAGAAACTGATTGGCCCATGTGTCCACTGACACAAATCCATTGATGACAATTAACCTGCTGTAATTTAATTCCAGTCGGCCTGTATGCAAAAGAAAGTTCACACAGAGCCGTTTATGTACAGTGAGGCCACAAGTAGATGATTATGTCACTAATTAGAAAAACAGTATAAGTTAATTTTGTACCAAGACAGTAGTTGGCAGAAGCAAGGTTCTCACTCCTGACACACACAGACACACACACACACTTCAAACAAGCTTGTAAACGGCTCCCTGCCACTTTTATCCAGCTTGTAAAACGCTGGTTGAAGTCCACCGTTTTAAAAACGTATATGCTACATTCATGCCCATCTGGCAGCAGGCTACAAGGCCGACTATCACATTTCTGAACACAAAAGAATGACTTGATTTATTTCCCATTCTGGGTAAATACAGTCTAACCATGTGGTCCACAGTGTAACCAATGGGCAGCCGAGAAGAAGGTAAGGGCTGGAAAAAAATTACTACCATTTTTGGGGAGGATGTAAGCCACTATACCAGCCCATCCAACGTTTTACAGTCGCACTTAAGTGTCTTTTTATTGAAATAATAAAATAAACATGTCGCTAACGAATTATTATTCCATGATGGGGCTCCAGACCGAGGAGCCGTACGGTGCACACTTCATCCCGGGAAGCTTGCAGGGTTCGACGGCCGGCTGCGCAAAGCCAGCCCGGGGAGCGGAGGAGGAGGAGGGGACTCCCAGCTCACACATTCCGGATTTCTCACATTTTTCCAACAAACAAACGAGCTTAAATGGCTTTTCTCCTTGGACAAACACCTCCACTTCCTCTTCGTCGTCTTCTCCGCAGCTGCAGTCCGCCCCCGGTGCCTCCATCCCCAGCCTTTTTCATCCACATCACCTCTTGAGTCACCACCACCCTTATTACGGCCCACAGGCGCAGGCACACGCCGAACACCTCGCATCCTCTGCCGCTTCGGAGAGCAGGTTCGTCCGCTGTTGGGAGGGGGCGACTCCCACCTCGGAGACCGCTCTGTCACAAGCTCCAGCCAGTTTTCCCGGGTGTCTCCCCGCTCAGGGTGACCTCTCCAATCCGAGCCCCAGGTACGAGGCGGTTAAACCGGAAAGCTCACCGCCGGCACACGACAGCCCCGGGGATTCTAGCTTCGCCAGCCCGGCTGAGGTGGTCCTCGAGCGGCTTGGGACCGTGGAGGAGCTGGGAAGAAAGCCCGAGCCCAAGAAAGAGGAGGAGGAGAGAAAAACACAGCAGAAGCAGCCTGACCCGGGTAAAGAGAGATATACCAAACTCAAGAATGTTTATTAGCGCTTAAGAAGTGACATTACACAGGTGTGTGTGTGTGTGTGTGTGTGTGTGTGTGTGTGTGTGTGTGTGTGTGTGTGTGTGTGTGTGTGTGTGTGTGTGTAAAAGAGAGGGAGAATGTGGCCTTAGTAAGTAAGTAAGTGTGTGTGACTTTTATAGCCCTATAAATGTCTTGTAAACGGTAAAATATAAAACTTTATTGTCCATTAAAATAATTAAGGCGCTATTGCTGTTATTTAGCCATTTGTCACTATAGGGAAAGACGCAGGTTACAATACATTTCTCTGCTTAGATTTGTGCACGAAGTCAGTGAGACAAAAAAAATCCCTTTGTTGTTCATAACTTGCAAATAAGTAAACTTAAAATCTACAAAAGTATTTTTGAAAAAACGGAATTATGATAAACAAAAATGACAGATACAGTTAGGCTTCTAACAATAACAATACAAATAATTATAATAATGCTATTTTATTACTACAGATTTTTCTTTTATTAGATAATTGCTACATTTAATTTTCTCATCACATTACAGTGTATTTATGCTTCTGTAAATGTAGGCCATTGGTTCATCGTTAAAATGTGCAACAGAATTAAAAGCTATGAACTTCTATTAACTTTTTAATGTCAGAAATGAGGTTTAATGCATTTCAAATGATTTTTTAAAATCTTAGATGTCTACTTACTGTTAAATGAAGGTTTCAATTAGATCTTTGGCAACCTGAAGTCCACTTCCTAATAAATGAATGCATAATGAATGAATAACTCAAGAAGTGAGGGAAGATGTGTTGTAAAGTGGTGTTAGTGTATAGCTACCAAACCTAATACTTGTTGCTCTCTTGCCGTCTGTCTGTCTGACAATAATTTCTGTCAGCAATCTGCTGCTGCTTTACTTCTTTAAGTGGTCAATAAAACATTTCATATCAGTCAAAGGTTCAAATATCTCTCCCCAACTGCAGTTTAATAATTCTAGAAATGAGGCTCAGTTTGGCAGTTTATCAGCACTGGCTGCACTCAGACAGAGATTTAGACTATTTTTATTGGGTATACTCTGCTGTATTTATTGCTGCTTGCTGTCCTTCCAAAACCATTTTCATCATCAAAAGATCTAATAGCTACATCAGAAAGTGCAAACATAATTTAACATAATGTGACATTATGTTAAACTGTTGAAATGAAGGAAAGGGAAAATGAGGGTATTAACAACCCTAATGCTGAAACTCTGTTACTGTTTTAGCTTTGGAGAAATTGAACACCGTCTTTATTGAGCTGTGTTATTGTTTCTCTTTCTAATGAGCCACACGTTGAAGGATCATAAAATTTCTTCCTGAGAATGTTTTCTTTGATTTTTTTTTTTTTTATGTCAGTCTTTGAACTATTTACAGCACACACACACACACACACACACTCACACACTCACACACACCAACCTGCAGAGAGTAAATACACTGTTGTGTGGTTTGAGTAAAACTCTAAACCACTTTGTCTCTTCTTCTGCAGAAAATCCATCAGCCAGTTGGATCCACGCCAAGTCGACCCGGAAGAAGAGGTGTCCGTACACCAAGCACCAGACCCTGGAGCTGGAGAAGGAGTTCCTCTACAACATGTACCTGACCAGGGACCGGCGCCTGGAGGTGGCAGGACTCTTAAATCTGACAGAGAGACAAGTCAAAATCTGGTTCCAGAACAGACGGATGAAGATGAAGAAGCTGATGATCCGTGAGAGGAGGAGTATGAACGAATGATGGATTGAGAGGGGACGCTGGGGTTGGTTTTTTTTTTTTTTTTTTTTGTCCAGGATGGGAGAGGAGGTTTTGAGGTTAGAGCTGATAATAAAAAAAAAAAAGAAAAAAAAAGAAACACAATTCCCCAAGATACCCGACATCTTTAACACCAACTGGCCCTATCAGTACAGAGCAGTGGATTGTGGGGCTGACATGGCCGCCTCGGAAAAACTGCAGAGGTGACACTGCAGGGAAGACCAAGATGTGTTGTAACACTTTAAAAAAAAAAATTCCTATCAACCTCTTTCGACCTTTGACCTCATGTTGTAGAATTCTTCCATCCGCATGTTACAAAATGAAGACGGTTAACCTGTAACCTGGGACAGTTGTAAATAATACTCAGAGTGAAATGGTAACATTCACACAGAGATCCATAAATTGAAACAAAACACACACTAGTTGATATCAAAGACTTTTCTCATTTTAAAACACATCTGTTTTTGATAAGGTTGTATATCTCACATGTCCAGACTGGAAACATTTGACACACACTTGAGTTCACATAAATTGTCTGTGCTTTCTGCCAAATTGCGAATCGTGCTTTATGATTTAGTGCTAAAACTATCATCCTCATAAAAGCCGCTTTCAGCGTGCCAGACGAGGCTGTACTACTATCAAAGACAAACCCCAGGAGTGGTCTTAAGGCCGAGCACCTGTCTTTTACGGTCTGAAATAATAGTCGCAGAGCATTTAGTTGAAATTAAAATGGAATACTTGTGTAAACGACTGCTAAACAAACAGAAGCCTGACACTTTAAACTAATGAGAATAAGGCCAAACTGGAGAGAAGTGATGAGTTTCAGTTTCAATATGATGAGTTCACGTTCTGTATTGATCTGTTTGTTGGCTTTAATTTAAAGGTTACATCTGTCAATATTCCTGGTTTCAAATACTGTAGTTTTAAGTGATTTGCATGGTTGAATGTTATTGAATCTTAAGACTCAAAGCACATTTAGTGTGGCCGGACTTATTGTCTGCTGCTAGTCAGTCTCATCGCTTCTGGCTAACAATGCCATTACCCTGACATGAAAAAAACAAACACATGTGAAATTGCCATTTTCACATGTGAAATATCTGAAAAGAACATATGCCTATATTTGAAATCATCACATGTGAAATTCTGTTTCACATGTGAGTAACCACATGTGCCTGCTTGTGAATTTTTCACACTTGAAAGGGTCTTCCATGTGTGATGAACATGTTTCAGAAGTGATAAATTAACGTGCACTTCTTTGTAAGGGAAAGTTTGTTCAAACCAAAGTTGAAGAAGTGTCAGAAACAGAAGTTACTGTGAACTTCCTGTTAAACTGAAACATCCAACTGATTACGCACACGACAACAAGGTCAGATGTTACAGTGACTTTGTGTCGACTATATCCAATATTGCATTTCAATGACCTCTTTCTGAGTTTCCAGCTGAGTTAAATCTTAACGTGTGCTGTTGTCTGTCCCTGGTCCTGGACTGAACATAGACACAAAATGTGTAAAAAAAATAGTTGGACAAGCTGCAATAATAGCTGCAACCTGCTGAAACACGTCTTATGTTTATCCACAACCTTATAGATTATTACACCGCTTGCAGTTGTAACCTTAATGTGGAAGATCAGCTTTAACAAATCCTTTTTTCTGGAACAGAAAAGTATGTCAAGTTGTCACGGTTGAAAAAATGTAACCATAAGATAAAACACAAACATACAACGTGCGTCAGACACGTCCAGGTGAGTAATGCTGCTTCAGAGGCCTCAGAGAGATGTGTTACAACCAACCCTGGTCTCCCCTAAAACAATATTCAAAAGGAACTTTTAAAGTTGTGTTCCTCAAAGCAGAATGAGCTTCTTCCTTTGTTCCTGCTTTTATAGACTGTGCATGTCGCCTCATGGGCAAATTTGTTGTTATATTGTTGTTGTTGTCGTTGCTGTTGTTGTCGTCATTGTTGCTATGTGTATGTGTTGTTACTGTGGGTCTAATGTGCAGATATGGTCATGCCTATATTCCTCTACACACACAGACACACACCATTCCACTGTGGACACTCAAACCTCAATTCACACCAGACCCCGAACAATAACCAGGATCTCAGAAATCATGTTTTACCTCATTGGGACTACTGGTCCCAACAAGGACTGTGTCTATATTGGAAGAGGTCCCATAGAGGTAACAAAAACACGCGCACACACACACACACACACGCGCGCACACACCAGTCACGGCTAAGCTATGGTGTGACAGCAGTCTGATGGTTAGTCTTCATGTTTCACTGTTACCTCCTGTAGGAACAAACAGCTACAGCTCATATAAGACCTTTTACAAGAAACACACACACGCGCGCGCGCGCACACGCACACACACTCTCTCTGTTGGGAGAAAAGGACACACATCAGGCTATGTTAGCCTACAGCGGCGGGCCTGTGCTGAGATTCACCTGGAGTCAACATGCGATGACGTAAGGCCTTCATCTGCTCATTTAGGCTCAATCTGCTGCTCGTGGTGATTTTTTTTTTATTATTGAAATAAATGACGGATTACAACAAAATGAGTCTTCCGTGTTGCTTTTCTTTTTTTTTTCTTTCCTTTTGAGATTTTCTGTGTGAACTAGTCATTTAGTTTACATCAGATTTTTGGCTTTTATTTTGAACTTTTCTGTTAATATCAGTGGTTTAGTTGTAGTAGCCGTAGCAGTCCGTTTTATATCATTCCTTCCCATAATTACGGAGATTATAATAATACCAAATTACTACTCATAATAATGATGATAAATATTTATGCATGCGATCGTTTGGTTGGATTATTATATCTTAATAAAACTACAGTTGTATTGTTATTTATATTTTTTGCATTAGGCTAAATGTTTTTGTATTAAATAGAAAAACAACACACAAAATGCTAGTATACTGTTGCACTGCACATCCGTTTTATTATTCTATATTTATAATGGTGTGATCCTACAGGAGAAAAACAAGTAAACAAGACAAGCAGTGCGTCCTGTTTGCTGTTTTACTGGATTATAGGTCAATATTACGATTTATAATGTTGTTTATTATGATGATATTATTCCAACGTCAAGGTGTTTGACTGTTCTCAGGTGTGGTGTGAGTCTCGGTCTATAGAGAGACATTTCTGACTCCTTGTTTTGTCAAAGTCAGTGCAGCGCCTCGTAGCTTCCCTCATTTATTGCGGCCATATAATCTGCTCAGAGCTCATCCTGCAGGGTCATAAACCAACAGCATGCATTTGGAGAATAAACGTGACTTTCTCCCCCAACTCAAGACAGAGAGACACAGAGAGAGAGAGAGAGAGAGAGGTGCCATAAAGTCATTTAACCCAGACAGCCATCGTGACTATAGGCTGTATGGTTTTATTGGACACTCCTTCCTCCCTTTGAGCCTCAACTGTCCTTCTAAATGTTAAAGTCATTGTCTGCGGATGAGACCAGACAGCCTCAATCGCATCTCTGCAGAGACCGGGGCCACAAAACACAGTGGATTTCATTATACCGGGAATTAAAACAAAGGCTTTTACGCCTGAAGAGCAAATGAGTGGATGTGGTCCCATTTCTTTTTGCTAAAAATCCGACTTCAGTCTGGTTGTATCGGTGATCACTAATACAAGCCTGTTTATATTTTAAAATGCGGATTATAGCCTTGATTTTAGGCTGCAGATAATAAACACTTCATCGTAGCCGTCTGCAGCACATTATGCTATACTGCACATTTTTGTTTTATTTCTATAAATGACACATTTCCTCTTTTCCAAATTATAAATGTCTGTATTTAAATTAAGCACGTAGAGTGAGTTATTCCCATACAGTCCTGAGCACTGATACACAGTTTTAAGAATAATCTGGAGAAACCAGAAAAAAGAACATAGTCTATATATTCCTTCCTTATTACCACATTAGAATAACAAAATCAATTAACATAAACTAAAGCGCAATAACACAAGCAGCAAAACGAAAATGACTGTACAATACAGGCAAAACATGTTAAAAATAAATAATAAAAATAGGCTAATTAAATAAATAAATGAGTAAATAAATGCGTTGATAATTCTGATTAAATGTATAACACGAAGCCTGAGAAGGAAGCATAAAATAAAATGAAAGGAAAGAACTGCATTAACCTTCAACTACAACAAAGGGAATACTTACTGTGATGCAAAAATTAAATAGGGCGGGGAGTAATGTTCAAATTATTGCTTCCGATTAAATGTTGTTCCCAATACAGTTTCTGCAATAAGATAAAACGTATTCACAACGGTACAGTGTCTCAGATTTATAATAAGAACAAGTTAGAGTTATATATAAAGTGATTATTTAGAAGGATGTATTTCCTACTGGGTTATTTGTTGGCTATAATATTAGTTTGAACTAATAATACTGGACTGGTATCAGCAGTATATTTTCAGTCCATTGTTTCAGAAAATACTAAATAGTGCAGACTATAATAATTTGTTATTTAAGTTAAGCGTCACTTCAAAGGGACTGAATGAATGTGGAATCATATGGAATGAAACTAATGATAAATGATCAGTAATCGATTTTATCAACAAGCTGCTGATTTTGTTGTTTCAAAATGTGTTGTGGATTTGGACATTTAAAGATGTATTTTGCCTTTAAAGAATCAAGAACATATATATATATATATATATATATATATATAAACACCGGTGGCTACAAACAGCACTGTCGTCTGTGTGCAGTTACTGCGTCTATCCGCTGGGTGGAGCTGTTGTGTTTCCTGAGCCGCAGCAGCGTGTGACGGTGGTTCAGCGGTGATTTGGTCACTGCTGTGGACTTCAAAGCTCAGTAGAACCTCACATGACAAAATCGATTAACACCGACAGTAAAAATGTGATCGATTCACCCGAGATGTGAAGTTAGAAAACATACTTTACTTCCTGGAAAAGGTCGTTTAGGAGGTAGTGTAATTACGTTGACTTAAAGGGCTTTTTCCCGCTGCATTT